CATCGAGTTCCACATAATGTTAGTATAATCTTCCAAGTCCCAAATATCTTCTTTATCCATTCTATTATTAAATGTGTCTAGTTTATCCCCTTTTAGATCCCACCATCTAGTCCTGCGACACCCACTATCTTTCCGAGCTTGGTATTGCCCCTTTAAAGCAAAAATCTAGTATCAAAATTCTATGTTAAGACGTCAGGCTCTTTTCAGGAATCACCTTACAGTCATTGCAGACGGTCCCCTTTTCTTACTAGAAAGTAATCTATCTGGTTCCTAATTGACTCACTCTTGAATATTATCAAATGTTCATCTCTTCTTATACATAGTATCGGTCACCACTAGGTCAAAAACCAACGTAAAATCTAAAACTCTCTCCAACCTCATTTCTATCACCAAAACCATACCCACCATGCACCCTCTCATAACCTAGTTTATCTGCTCCACCCAGTAAATACCCAGTACAAGTATGACAATATTTTTGGAGTAACCGTGGTTCATTGGTTATCAATCACAAGATGTCCCCACCAGCAGACTGTAACATGGATCAGTACTTTCACCAATAACATATCTAAAACAAATCACTCATCAAGTGTTTTCCCTTCTTAAAACCAAATAACCATCAATCCAAACTTCAATTTCCATAATAATTACAGACTGAATGGGCTCGTAATAAGTGAAGGTAAAAAAAAAAATATGGATGCACAAGTTAACCATCAAAACAAGGAGAACCTACATATGAAAGAGACAAAGCAAACAATGATATAAAACCGAAACCTAATTCTGAATTTTGAAAACTTTCCCATCCAACACAAAGATATAGCACACCAACAAAAAGGAAAAACACTTGCCACTGCAAAATCAACTGAAAAGCAGTATTCAAAAAACTGACTTCAGTTGCTTTCTTAAATAACACTAACATTTACAGAAAATCTCATGATTGTTTATATATGAGGCCCATTGACCATTATTAAAGAAACTTGAGAGTAGAAAGTTACACACTTCCATGACCCAACTCCTTCAAGTTCCAGTAGCTTCACCAGTCCACTCCAGCTCTTCTCCATGCTCTGTTTCTGCATCGAGGAAACCAAAGAACATGCATAATTTTGTGTAAAAGGGTTCAAGCCTATTAATACAAGCTAAAATAGAATAATGAACAGAAAGAGTCCAAGACAACTTTTCATTTTGTTGCATCAATCTTAAGATGGATAAAAACTTAATGTAAGTTGGTGAATGAATTTCAAAATAGGTTAAAACTTAATCAATCACTTCCTTTCTGTAGATTAACAAAGAAAATAGGGCAGTGATTCTCAAGCCTAGTTATAAACCAAAAACAACCAAGTTGGTAGTCATTCATTAGCTATTCACTGTGTGGGGCAATGACAATGCATTGTAAAGGAATGACCCATTTGTGGGCTTCGGCCATTCTTTTGGCCTACACATCATTTTCCAAGAAAATATATCATTTATTTCTATTGAAGGCCATAAATCAACAACTACATGAATAGATTTTAGCTATCCAGAGCTTCCATTCAGTGGATATAAGGTCAAAGAGAGAAAGTGAAAGCTAGGTAGAGAAGTAGAGACAACAATTGCACTGCCAAGACAATGGTGGATCTAACTTTTCTTTGATACAACCAAATTTTTGGACTTATCATTGGCAAAAAAATTTCATTTTTTGGAATGCTATGATTGGAATATCATTTAGAGTCCGTTTGGATGGATGTGGACTTGGAATGCATGAATTTGACATTAATTATTGGAGGAGAATGACTCAAATTAGATTTGATAGTTTACCTATGAATTTCAAGATCAAGTTGAATAACTTTATCATGCCATGATGGATTTGAACTAACTATACAAAAGTGGTTATTTGAAATCATGCTATGGAATTCTAACCACAAGGATCCTACTAAAGTACATCATTATCTCAAATTATCCTTTTTTTTTTTTAGTTTCTCTCCATTTATAATAGCCAACTTTCCAACATTTTTAACCTCATATCCCTTGATTTGAAATCCATCCATCCAAACTGACGGTTAAAGTTTTGTTTCCTAATGGTAGAGTTTCTTGAACAAGGGAGATCCATTCTGGGATCGATGAACTGTATCATTTGAGTTTTACTCTCCCTCTCCCAACCATCCTTGGTTTAGATCAATTACTCTTTGCATCTTATTGATTGAATTTGAAGGTCAAAAAGTTCCCCAAAAAATTCATAAACTTTCAAAGAAAAATCGAAAAAGATTGCGAATTCATACATCTACTCTCCTTTATAATTGGGGTGAGATAAACTCATGATAGAAATTCACAATTTTAATTTTAGTAGCAACAATTCTTCTAATGAAAATAAATACAACCAGAAACAAAAAGCTGCTTACCAAATTAAAGAGAGAAAAAAATAATTCCTCGCAATATGAGATTGAATGCCATAACTCTTATTTGTATTTACTTCTTATTGGTGCTGTTGGGAAATCTGCACAGATAGGATCGCATACTTGGGTCACCCAATGCTATGGAGGGTCCCACTCCAGTATCCGCTTTGATTCATGCAGCTACTATGGTAACAGCTGGCGTTTTCATTATAGCAAGGTGCTCCCCTTTAGTTGAATACCCACCTACAGCTTTGATTGTTATTACTTTTGCAGGAGCTACGACGTCATTCCTTGCAGCAACCACTGGAATATTACAAAACGATCTAAAGAGGGTCATAGCTTATTCAACTTGCAGTCAATTAGGCTATAGGATCTTTGCTTGTGGCATCTCTAACGATTCAGCTAGTGTCTTTCACGTAATGAATCACACGTTTTTCAAAGCATTACTATTCTTGAGTGCAAGTTCAGTGATTCATGCCATGTCGGATGAGCAAGCTATGTGTAAGATATTCCCTTTTACTACCATGATGCTCATGAGCAGCTCATCTCTAATTGGATTTCCTTTTCTAACTGGATTTTATTCCAAATATGTGATCTTATAGCTCACTTCCACCAATATACCATCAGTGGGAACTTTGCTTTCTGGTTGGGAAGTGTCTCTGTCCTTTTTCACTTCTTATTACTCTTTTCGTTCACTTTTTCTAACATTTCTAGTACCAACTAATCCACTCAGGTGAGACATCTTACGATGTCATGATGTGCCCATTCCTATGGCCATTCCTTTAATACTCCTGGCTATTGGAGTCTCTTTGTTGAATACTTGGCCAAAGTGTGACCCGTTACCCCACGAGCAAGTATTGTTACAAAGTGGCCGTTGTTCACCCAACACGATCGTACGAGGTCACAATTCACCCAAGATGATCATCTGGGGTGAACAAGAATTGGGGATTGGATGCAGGGGAGGAGGCTCATTGCCAGCAACAAAAGGAGCTCCATAGGACAAGGAAAAGGAGCCCAGAAAGAAAGCTAGGGGGAACTGCATGGGGGAAGAATCGGTATTTTAACACCAATCACAAATTTCATGTTGGACGCAGAATTCATAATGGAAGTTATGGACAAGGATTACTTTATCAACCATCATTTACTTCAAAGATCCCTTGTGAAATATTTTCAAATACAAAAGTTCAGCATTCTACCATGAATTAGTGAATTAGAAGGAATTATTTTGTATAGAATAATAAGTAGCAGGCCAATCTTCATGAATTTCATCGTAAATGTAATATACTTGTACAAACAAAATGTAGGAGAGATAAAAAAAGATGCAGGGTCATTCGTCTCATAGGCTAGTCAAACATGGGATAATTCATAGATCTTTGGGTTTTGATTACCAAGGAATAGAGACTTTACAAATGAAGCCCGAGGATTGGCATTCCATTGCTATCGTTTTATATGTATATGGTTACAATTATCTACGTTCCCAATGTGCCTATGATGTAGCACCTGGCGACCTATTAGCTAGTGTGTATCATCTTACGAGAATAGAGTATGGTGTAGGTCAACCAAATGACGTGTCCATAAAAGTATTTGCCCCAAGGAGGAGCCCCAGAATTCAGTCTTTTTCTGGGTTTGGAAAAGTGAGGATTTTCAAGAACGGGAATCTTATGATATGTTAAGAATCTCTTATGATAATCATCAGCGGTTGAAACGTATAGGATGGCCCTTATACAAGGATTATATTGCTCCCAATTTTTATGAAATATAAGAGGCCCATTAACTGATAAGAAACTAATCGTCACTTCGACAATTCCAGACATTTAAGGATTGTATGTTCTGTTCTAGATAAAATAATTCATTTGTCTTATAGTATGACTATCCCTGCTGCTGGAATATGCCCTACTTCGCCTGAAGTTGCCCATTTATGCTGGTTATAAGGCTCTAGTTTCTCTCTCCTTAATACCTGAGTTTTAAGGAAAAGTGTGGACTAAGCTTTTCAATTTGGTATCAGAGCTTGGTTGGGCCTATGAATGGTGTGCCGTTTGTCCGACTATTGTATGTTGTGGTCCAGGAGGATATGTGGGAATGCGTTCCACATCGCCTGGAGTTGCCCCATCTGTGCTGGTTATAAGGCTCAGGTGTTTTACTCTCACTTGCAACTCATAGTCTTCATCGTCCTCTTCCTCCAATCTCATCTCTCAAACCCTAGTCTCAGCCGAAGACCTTCTCTTTCAGAAGCCATGAGAAAGACACATCGTATGGGAGCTGGTCGCAAATTGAAGTCCCACCATAGAAGACAAAGGTGGGCTGACAAGGCATATAAGAAGTCCCATCTTGGCAATGAATAGAAGAAGCCTTTTGCTGGGTCTTCCCATGCCAAAGGCATTGTCCTCGAGAAGATTGGTATTGAGGCTAAGCAGCCAAACTTTGCTATCCAAAAATGTGCCAGGGTTCATTTGATTAAAAATGGGAAGAAGATTCCTACATTTGTCCCAAATGACGGTTGCTTAAACTACATTGAAGAGAATGATTAGGTGTTGATTGCTGGATTTGGACGTAAGAGGCATGCTGTCGGAGATATTCCTAGTGTCAAATTCAAGGTCGTTAAGGTGTCTGGTGTCTCTCTTCTGGCTCTTTTCAAGGAGAAGAAAGAGAAGCCAAGGTCTTAGTTTTGTGCACGGAGATTGTCTATTTCTATCTTTTGGTAGTTTTGTTGGAAGTATTAGAATGGTACTCTAGATTGTTTGAGCAGTTTACAAAACTTATTATCCATTTTCCAGTTATTGTATTGGCATTACATTTTGACCTTCAAAAAAAAAAAAAAAAAAACCATTCCAAAACACCCTTCTGGACTACAACATACAGTAGCTAGCACACCAGTCACAGGCCAAATCAAGCTTTAACACCAAATTAAAAAGCCCAACCCACGCTTCTCTTTAAAACCTAGGTATTAAGGAGAGGAAAGTTGGAACCTTATAACCAGCACAAATGAAGCAACTTTAGGCGATTTGGGACACATTCCAACTATCACCACTTTTCAAAAAAAATTAAGTTGTTTGTTTTTCGTGTTTTTTTGTTAAAAAATACAAAAATTCAGTACATTTTTTATATTTTTGTGTATTTATTAATTTTTTAAAATATTTTTTCACGAATATTTTACTTTTTAGATATATCTAAGTAAGGTGCCTCTAAAAGAGTAAAACAATTGCTTAAAATTTTAAAAATATTTACTAAAAATAATAAAAAAATGAAAAAATAAAAAATTCAATTTTCGGGAGATCAATCGAAACGAAACAAGATATATCATTGGGATTCTCAAATTTTGAAGATACTTATTTTGGATGATCCAAGTTAATAGGATGAACCAAATGAGCTCGTTCAGGGAAGGTAGGTGGGAGGGGAAGCAAAACAGCTGTGTTGGTTCAATCAGGAAATGGTCGATCATGCTTGTTAGGGTTGAATGATTCAAGGCTTACTTAAGAATAGAGACGGTACTTTCTAATTTGAAAATGGGTTTATATTACAATGTATACGATGGGATACATAAGAAGAAGAAAATAGGTTTCTCTTGAGCTTAGTTTGATTGATCTTGCCACTTTTTCTGATAGGTAGGTCTGTCTTTCTCTAGATCCCGCTGAGCTGAAAGGCATTAGACATAAATAAAGAATCATTTAGATCCGAACGGGCTCTTGAAAGCTCATGTGACTGGAGGTGGGAAGATATGGGCTGAAAAGCATGCTAATAATCACCACAGGCCCTAATGCCATGAGTGCTCAACTTCGCCCCAGAAATGGAACCAACTGGAGAGTCAGTATGCAAAGAGAGGTCTCCCTTGTAATAAGAGTGAAGAACGACCCTTTTGAAGATCAAAAAAAAAAAAAAAGTAGTGAAGAACGACCCAACCCAGGCACAAGAAGAAAGGAAGAGTGGTAGGGCAATGGTACCAGACATTAAGGAGAGAGACGTGAATTGGTACACTTCACACTGACTACATCGCCTTGAGCTCTACTGAATTAAATGGCTTTGTTTGAAGGCGTTTGCTACTAAGCGTTGCCCTAGAATAATATTAGGAAAGGAATTACAAGATTCCAGACTAAAAGCAGGTTGAATCTCCTATAAACTCCCATGATGTGGTAAAGGGAGGAAATTAGGGGAAGCAATGAGTGGAGATTACCTTGTAGAGAGCCGGATGAGAGGAGACCTTCACGTCCAGTTCGGAGAGCAGGAATATCCCGACCCTACTATCATTATGCCTTTACAATGTTACTTGCATCATTCATCCACAAACTTGAAATGACATGAACTATTGTTGTAGTTATTATTGTGCATGTTTGCAACTCTAATAGTAGTTGTACGTTTATTCATGAATAAATTTTAAAATGTTGACATTGGAAATTGGGTTGTCTTTGACCTTTAGATGATAGAAATTTGAATGCAACTCCAACATCTTAACCAACAACCCAAGATTTTTCCCAACAATAACCATTTTCACCCCTAATTCACTCCTAAATATTTATACAAAATAAATAAAGGAACGACAAAACAAAAATTAATAAATGATATGGAAGTTGCACATCATCCTTGAGATATGAAACCCTACAAGAATAGTTGTTAGGCACCCAAATCTTAACCAATAACCCTGTTAGAATTTATCTCCACCTACCACCTCCACTATCACACACTCCACACCTACCACCTCCACTATCACACACTCCACCTACCACCTCCACTACACTACACCTACTACCACCTTCTCTTCTATATATAGGAGTTGTAATACATAACACAAAATATATCAATCTTGTAACATCAATCAATAATACAATTCTCTATTTCTCTTTATACATTAAATTTTCTACAAACCCTAAGGAGGTCTAAGAAGCATGGACATAGACAAGTGACAAGACACGAACACACCGACATGAAATTTTTTTTTTAAAATTTAGGTCACAACACGTGAGGGACACATGCAAAACACATAATTTATATGTTTATTTTATGTCATACATAAAGATAAACAATTATTTCATGTCATGTATGAATAAATATTTTAGTCTAAGATAATAATATTTCGTTTTTACACATACCTTCCCATCATTGTCCAAATCTTCTCTCTCTCTTGGGTATTTCTCAAACATGAAAACTGTTGAGAACTCTTGGATCATGAAAAACAATGGAAACCAAAACCACAAGTTTTCTTTCTCAGAAAACCCAATTGGGATCACTGCCTTATCATCTCCATCATGGTCATCTTCAACTTTTCATGCAATACAGACCCAACAACAGCAACAGCAACAGCAACAACAACAACAATTTCTTCAGCTCCAATCAAACCCACATGGCTTGCCTGTTATGGCAAAGGAATCATCACAGCCCTGTCACTCTAAACCGGTAGACTTGCAGAATGCTGCAGAAAAGAAGGCATTTTCACCAGCTTCTGCAAATACAGCTGTACCCAACAGCTCTCAGAAAAGAACTGCTCCTGCTTCAGTGGTGGGGTGGCCTTCGATTCGTTCGTTTAGGAAGAATCTTGCCAGTAGCTGTTCATCCAAACCAACTTCAGAGTCTCAGAATTTGGTCCCAATTGAGGTTCCCAATCACAAGCTGGTTGAAAGTTGCAGAAAAGATTTCTTTGTGAAGATCAATATGGATGGAGTTCCCATAGGAAGGAAAGTTGATCTTAAAGCCTATGACAGCTATGAAAAAGCTCTCCCTCTATGATATCGCCGCAACCCCCGGCGTCGCCGCCGATATCAGCCACATCAACAACCTGTTTGCCTTTTCTTTTGCTGGTGGGCCCTACCACTAGCAAAAGCCATTTATAACTTTTACCAACAAAAGCCCTCCACTTTCTTTTCTTTATATTTATTTTACTCCATCTTTTGAAAAGACACCGAACCACCAACTGGTTTGCACACCCATCATCTTACTTTTCATTTAGTGGTAGGACTCGACCAAATAAATTTGAATCTCACTTTTCTTTTTTATTTTTTATTCCTTTCACATTCACACATTTCTCTTCAATTTTATTCACCTACTTCTCTTCAAATTTATTTTCTTTTATTTTCAAAAAAAAAAAAAAAGAAGCAGCAGAAGCAGAAGCACTGCACACCAAACTCATTTTATTTTGGGGCTCACCCCGATCACCATGTTCCACCATACCAAAAAAATAAAAAAAAATAAAAAAAATAAAAATAAAAATAAAAATAAAAATAAAAAAACACAAACAAAACCCAAACAACCACATCCACAGGTGGGATTTTTTCTTCTCTACTCTGCCGCCGGTCTCTTCTTCTTGCCTCCGTCCTGGGCGGCCCTTGCCGGTGCTGCCTCCGTGTTTCCCACTCCACTGGGCACGATCACTACTCCCTGCTGCAATCTTTACATATTAAGTGGCTTATTTTTCTTACAAGAAAATAATCTATTTGATTCACTTTTAAAAGTTTGGGTAGCTTACACTGACCACCCTTGACATTTATAAAAAATACAATAAGTTCCACAAGTTTAGTATAATTAGATTGACTTTCCTTCTACTAAGGCCAAAGTGACCAGAATTAATCCAAATGATTGTAGACACAGAGAAAAATAAGGAAAAAAAATACATATTTTGTTAAAACCTACCATCACCTACTCCACCTACTACACCTACCACCACCTAAGTATAATATTTGTGAAAAAAATCTTTAAAAAATTCACTATATATAAAAAGTATAAAAAAATACAAAAATTCAGTACATTTTTTATATTTTTGTGTATTTATTAATTTTTTAAAATATTTTTTCACGAATATTTTACTTTTTAGATATATCTAAGTAAGGTGCCTCTAAAAGAGTAAAACAATTGCTTAAAATTTTAAAAATATTTACTAAAAATAATAAAAAAATGAAAAAATAAAAAATTCAATTTTCGGGAGATCAATCGAAACGAAACAAGATATATCATTGGGATTCTCAAATTTTGAAGATACTTATTTTGGATGATCCAAGTTAATAGGATGAACCAAATGAGCTCGTTCAGGGAAGGTAGGTGGGAGGGGAAGCAAAACAGCTGTGTTGGTTCAATCAGGAAATGGTCGATCATGCTTGTTAGGGTTGAATGATTCAAGGCTTACTTAAGAATAGAGACGGTACTTTCTAATTTGAAAATGGGTTTATATTACAATGTATACGATAGGATATATAAGAAAAAGAAAATAGGTTTCTCTTGAGCTTAGTTTGATTGATCTTGCCACTTTTTTCTGGTTGGTAGGTCTGTCTTTCTCTAGATCCCGCTGAGCTGAAAGGCATTAGACATAAATAAAGAATCATTTAGATCCGAACCGGGCTCTTGAAAGCTCATGTGACCGGAGGTGGGAAGATATGGGCTGAAAAGCATGCTAATAATCACCACAGGCCCTAATGCCATGAGTGCTCAACTTCGCCCCAGAAATGGAACAAACTAGAGAGTCAGTATGCAAAGAGAGGTCTCCCTTGTAATAAGAGTGAAGAACGACCCTTTTGAAGATCAAAAAAAAAAAAAAAGTAGTGAAGAACGACCCAACCCGGGCACAAGAAGAAAGGAAGAGTGGTAGGGCAATGGTACCAGACATTAAGGAGAGAGACGTGAATTGGTACACTTCACACTGACTACATCGCCTTGAGCTCTACTGAATTAAATGGCTTTGTTTGAAGGCGTTTGCTACTAAGCGTTGCCCTAGAATAATATTAGGAAAGGAATTACAAGATTCCAGACTAAAAGCAGGTTGAATCTCCTATAAACTCCCATGATGTGGTAAAGGGAGGAAATTAGGGGAAGCAATGAGTGGAGATTACCTTGCAGAGAGCCGGATGAGAGGAGACCTTCACGTCCAGTTCGGAGAGCAGGGATATCCTGACCCTACTATCATTATGCCTTTACAATGTTACTTGCATCATTCATCCACAAACTCGAAATGCCATGAACTATTGTTGTAGTTATTATTGTGCATGTTTGCAACTCTAATAGTAGTTGTACGTTTATTCATGAATAAATTTTAAAATGTTAACATTGGAAATTGGGTTGTCTTTGACCTTTAGATGATAGAAATTTAAATGCAACTCCAACATCTTAACCAACAACCCAAGATTTTTCCCAACAATAACTATTTTCACCCCTAATTCACTCCTAAATATTTATACAAAATAAATAAAGGAACGACAAAACAAAAATTAATAAATGATATGGAAGTTGCACATCATCCTTGAGATATGAAACCCTACAAGAATAGTTGTTAGGCGCCCAAATCTTAACCAATAACCCTAAGGAGGTCTAAGAAGCATGGACATAGACAAGTGACAAGACACAAACATACCGACATGAATTTTTTTATTTTAAATTTAGGTCACAACACGTGAGGGACACATGCAAAACACATAATTTATATGTTTATTTTATGTCATACATAAAGATAAACAATTATTTCATGTCATGTATGAATAAATATTTTAGTCTAAGATAATAATATTTCGAAGTCTGAATGAGGAGAACAAGTATAAATTTACATTGTTTTTGTTTTAATGTTGGATTTTAAGTTATTTTATTCAAACTTATAATTTGTTTTATGTGTGTCCAGGTGTTTGAAAGCATCCAATGAGTTCTTAGGAGGAGGAAGGAAAGGTGGTTGGACCATTGTTATCCATAGAATGACAAACTTCTGACAAATTTATTGGACTTCAAAGAAGACACCAAAATCTCACCTTTTTTTTCTGTTCTTTTCTTTTCTTAGGTTGACCATTTCGTAATTCATTCCAAATATTTGTTTCCTCAAGAACTCTAATGTGAATGAATACTTCAAAAATTTTTGCTTTTAACATTTGACTGAAAACAACAAACTAGACTAGAGATATCCCCCATACAATCAGAGGCCAAAGGCCTGCCCATAGCTGAAAGGTACTTGCCAAGACATTGTGAATAAGCAGGCATCAGGAGGTACTTCTAGACTTCTGTATCTGGATGATTAACTACAAATTTGGTATCAAACATGCATCCAGTATCAAGGAACATTCTTACTACCAACCATTGCTAAATAAGTCAAACTTTACAAGCTTAAAATTTCATCTCATCCCATTCTAGTAGCATTTATTTATCCTTTTCTGTAAGGAAAATGGTTTGCAAAAAGAAATTTGTATAGAAAACACATCTAGAACAATGCGCCAGCGGCATTTTTTAAATTACGAGGACAATGGTGTGTGTTTGATTTGAAATGAAATGATCACAAGAAGTCACAAAATTCTATATGAAAATTATATACAAAAGTTTAGTTTGTGTATCATTACTCTTTTTGTGAACTTAACCAACTCTCTACTAATTATAAACCAAACCAAACTAAGCCTTAAGTCCCATCAAATGGGGTCGGCTATATGAATCCTTCTTCTCCACGCGGCTCTATCAAACACCATTTCGTTAGTTAAATTAAGTAGATCCATATCTCTATTTACAACGCTGGATAACGTTAATTTAGGCCTACCCGGTCCTCTAACACTTCCATCTACCATCACTGCATCGCATCTCTTCACTACTGCCTCTGTTGGTTTCCGTTGAATATGACCAAACCATCTCAATTGATTCTCTCTCAACTTATCTTCTATCGCTACTCCTATCCATTCCCGAATACACTTATTATTCTGTCTTGTCTAGTCTTACCACACATCCACCTTAACATTCTCATCTCAACATCACTCATCTTATCTACATGTTATTTTTTGGTTGCCCAACACTCCGTCCCGTACAGCATAATAGTCGTTCTATAAAACTTACTTTTTAGTCTAGTGAGTATTCGATTATCGCAAAGTACCCCAAACGCATTTCTCTACTTAAGCCATCCCGCCTTAATCCTATAAGTCACATCCGCATCAATCTCCCCCATCGTTGTGATAATCGACTCTAAATAACAAAAATGTTCACTCTTAGGCAGTTCTTAATTCTCAATCTTCACTTCTCCTCTGCTTTCATTGTTACTGTTACTAAATTAACACTCTATGTACTCTATCTTAGTTCTGCTTATCCGAAATCCTTTAGATTCAAGTGCTTTTCTCCAGATCTCCAACTTTGTGTTAACTCCTTCTCTAGTCTCATTCACTAACACGATATCATCTGCAAAAAGCATACACCATGGCACATCATTCTAAATATTTCTCATCAACTTATCTATAACTAAAGCAAAAAGATAAGGACTTAAGGTAGATCCTTGGTGTAACCCTACAGTGATAGGAAATTCATTTGTCTCTCTAGCAGGCGATCTAATAATGGTCACCACCCCTTTATACATGTCCTTAATCACATCAATGTAACCTTTTGTCGCCCCTTTTCTTCTCTAACACCCACCGTATTATATCCCGAGACACTCTATCATATGCTTTCTCAAGGTCGATAAACACCATTCATCTTTTCTTTTCTCTATACTTTTCTATTATTCTCCTCAAAAGATAGATTGCTTCCATTATTGACCTACTAGGCATAAACCCAAATTGATTCTTTGACACCTCTGTTATATCTTGCAATCGGCGTTCCATCACCCTCTCCCACACTTTCATTATATGACACATTAACTTGATTCCTCTATAGTTGTTGCAATTCTAGACATCTCCTTTGTTCTTATAGATTGGCACTAAAATACTCTTCCTCCACTCATCTGGCATGTTCCTAGTTAACAAAATTTTGCTAAATAACCTAGTCAACCAAGCAACCTTCTTTTTACTCAAACACTTCCAAGCTTCAATAGGGACATCATCGAGTCCTAAAGCCTTATTTGATTTCATCTTCTTAAGTACACTCTTCACTTCAAAGTTCCTAATCCTGCGATAGAACCTAAAGTCTTGATTTATTGTATTACTAACTATTTCTTCCCCTATTGACGTACCTCCATAATCCTCTTTTAATAATTTCTCAAAATAATTTTTCCATCTCTCCTTAATGTCTCCATCCTTTACCAATACCTTAAAATCCTTACTCTTGATGCGCTTAACTTGATCAAAATCTCTTGTTTTCCTCTCCTGTATCTTAGTAAGTTTGTATACCCTCTTTTCTCCCTCCTTACTATCTAGTCTAGTATATAGGTCATTATAAACTTTCAACTTAGTCTCTCTCACTACTTTCTTGACCTCCTTATTAGCCAATCTATAGCTCTTAAGGTTTTCCTCAGTTCTATCCTTCTATCACTTTTTAAAGTATTTTTTTTTTTTTTACCTTAACTACCGCTTGAACCTCTTTCCTCTACCACCAAGTTTTCCTAGAGCTGGATCCCCGTTCCTTTCGACTCTCCAAACACTTCCCTTAAGATTCTCCTCATACAATTGGCCATCAAGTTCCACATAGTATTGGCATCATCTTCCAAGTGGTAGTTATAAATCAGAAAATTTTCATGTACCTCATCTATCTTCCACTGAGCCAAACACAAAGCACCAGATTCATTGACTTACTTAAGCTCCCCTTTAAGTTGTTCTATGCGTGTTTAAGACTGACACAACCCCACATTCCATCTAGAAGTTACACTGCTCCCCCACTTTAATAGCAAAGTACCACTTAGACTAACAGCTAGTGATTTTTGCTTTAAGGTTTATGTCATCAAGATGATTTCCCTTTTTCTGTTCTAAAACTTATTGAACAAATAGTTAATAGTATATAAATGGAGATAGTGTTTAATCCAACAAACATACCACCTTCTGGTGTCCATTGTGGGCAGTCTACAAACCAAATCCATAAGATATATGCAACAAAAATATTAAAAGACCTTTATAACTTGTAATTTAGGGCTTGTTTGGCAAGTAGGGTTGGGCTAAAATAGCCACATAAGACAAAATAGACTATTTTAGCCAAATAGGACAAAATGTCACATCCAATCCATAATCATTTTATTTTTTCTCTCACAAAAGTCAATAAAAGCCAAAAAGACTATCCCAAACGAGGCTTTTTAGCCCCAGGCTAAAATATCCAAAAAGCCAACACACATCCCAAACGAGCACTTAGAAGGATAGCTCTACACAGATATATGTGAAGAATTGTTTAACTTTTAGCAGATAGATTTTTCAATTCACCTGGGCTGTCTGGAAATTTATTAAAAAGAAGGGGCTAAAAGACAACTCTATGTGAGATGCATAAAATTTGAAAGGGAATTTGGTTTAACATTTCTTGACCAAAATTAGTCAGTTCCTTGATGCCTATGGCAACAAATTTTCATCATTCTAGCAAGGGTATAGCTGGCTGTTTGCACAACTAAGCTATGTCCAAGTTAGACCATTCATTTTTGCCTCCAACAATTCAAAGATACCCGATTCATTACCCTCTACTGGCTTATCATTTCAAACTTTGATGTAACATAGGTATTTCACTAGGAAGTGAAAATTCATTCACATAATTTGTACTTAGCTTTGGTCGTCGTCATGGAGTCTAATTCATTCTTTAATATTTCAAGAAAACCAATAAAAAACTATTCTTATATCTGGAGATTCAGGAATGAATTTTTAGTAGCATAAAGGATGTACTAACAAGTTTCTAATGTTAAATTCATGTATTAATTCGTTTAATTTTTATGCATGAACATTAGCCAAATGATTAATAATCACAAGAAAAATAATACCATACCAAACCAAACCAAACCAACTCTTAAGTCCCATCAAATGGGGTCGGCTATATGAATCCTTCTTCTCCACACGGCTCTATCAAAGGTCATTTCGTTAATAAAATTAAGTAGTTTCATATCTCTATTTACTATGCTAGCCAACATCAATCTAAGTTTACCCCGTCCCCTAACAATTCCATCTACCGCCACTGCATCGTATCTCTTCACTACTGCCTCTGTTGGTCTCCGTTGAATATAACCAAACCATCTCAATCTATTCTCTCTCAACTTATCTTCTATCGGTGCTACTCCTACTCATTCCCGAATATGCTCATTCATAATTCTGTCTTCTCTTCTTTCACAAGAAAAATAATAAGTAAATAAAATAGCCAGGCAATTTGCAATGAGTAATCAGCTGTGCAACACACACTGAAGCATGTATATGAAACTTGAATAAATGATCTACATTATAAATCAAAAGGAGACTAGATCTAAAGAACAAAAATGCAAGCATACAAAGTCTATTTACTATTTAAGGTATTCACATGATCCACTAGTCAAAGCAATCCTTTAGAATTCACAAATAAAATCTGCGTTCTATTCTTTCTTATAATTACAAATAAGCTTAGTTCTACATAATAAAAACATGTCCTACTAACTTGGCAGGCTGTTTACATTGTGCATTCAACTTCCTCCACCAACAGCCAAAAATTTTGTGTAATGCAAAGTTATAAAATCATTTGGTATAAGAGCTAGCCACCACATCGAGTATGGGATCAGATGCACCTACGCAAGTATGGGATCGGATGGGTGCAACCTTGTGGTTTGAGCTGTAGTGGGCAACCTATAGGTTGGATTAAGATACCTGTTAAGGTGTTGAATACTGATAAGTGAGTGAGGCCACCAAAAGGGAAAAGGCTACCATTGGGTTAATATCGATAGAGTGGGCCACTGTGGATGTCGACTGTGGAGTGCAGTGGCATGTTAGGATTCCACATCAGAACACAAAAGGCATGGCATTTGAATATAATCCTCTTTAGCACCCTTGCAAGGTGTTTTTGTTTTTTTTTTTTTTTTTTTGATAAATACCCTTGCAAGGTGTTTTTGAAGTGTGAGTTCTACCTAAGGGGTTTCAAACATACCTAGCAAAGTAAAACAATACATTTCAAGACTTCTTTGTCCACTTGGCATAACAAAAATTAACAATTATAGTGAAAAAGAATAGAAGCAAACCAGAAAGAAGAGTTGGTATGTAAATGGCTAGAAACATGCAATTTGCTATTTGAACAAGAAATATTACAGATTTTTTATTAAAAAATGTTACTAGTTAAATACCTGTCTCAGCTACTAAATGGCCTCATAAACTTCTTTTCATCCATTTTTATAAATGCATAACTCTGAATTCTATATATACAATCAAAACATTTACACGATGTAAAATAAATAAATAAAAAAATCATGTAACAGAGTTATTGAAGAGAAATCAAGAAGGACCAATAATGAGCAAAGAACAGCCAGAATACATAACAACGTAATAAACCTAGCTTAAACTAAATACATATCTATTTTGAAACTTATATAAGTCTCATACCTGTAATTATCTATTGGAGCCTGCAAACACCTCCAACAGTCCACAACAACTCTTCCAGAATGGTGTTTGCACTGGTCGTGGGGCCAACGCTACCAAAGGCTGCAAATGATTTCAACAGAAATATTATAAAAGATAATAGGAAAGCTATCATTTTTTTCAGTACTTGTTGAAGCAAACAAATGAAACTGAACTGGGCAAGAAGAAAGAAGGTGTAAGTAGTACCTGGCTATCAGAGGCTTCAGTAATCACAGAATCTTTTATAAGGTCTGCACCATTACTATTATCAACTGCTGGAACACTGGATGACGGAAACAGTTTGTCTTCATCCACTCGTGCTGAAGAGGCTGTTGCAACAGAAGAAACTGCAGAACTCTCAACTGCTGTTGAAATCACTTTATCCTTCTTTGGTTGTGATCCCATATCCATCACAACTGGTAAAACCCTTAAAGTCTCATTTTTTTCACTTTCCTTCAACCCCAATTCAAGCAAATTAGAACATATAGCACTCTCCACTGTCGAACTATCATTTGCACGAACCACCTCTTTAGATACATTCTCTGACCCAACAACAGGGATAGTTTCCACAACTGAATTATAGGTTTCCTCTGTCAACTTCCCAACAACCAAACTGTAAGCCTCAATAACCGGAACATCATCTTTAAGTTGAGCAACTTCCGGCAAATCAACAGGCTTGACTAAATTTACAGAAGGGGCATCATATGACTGTTCTTTTGGCTCATCCGCAGCCAAATTATAAGCATCCATAACCAGAACACTATCAGTAACTTCAGTTACTTCCGGCAAATCAGCTGGCCTGACTAAATTTACAGAAGGGGTATCATATGCCTCTTCTTTTGGCTCATCCACAGCCAAATTATAATCATCAATAATCGAAACACCATCAGTAACAGGAGTTATTTCAGGCAAACGAGCTATTTTTACTACATCCTCAAAAGCATCCGATTCTGCAACCGAATTAAGAGCATCCTCTTTTGATTCCCTGTACTCTATCATCACTATGTTTTTATCAATAACATGAGACTCATCGTCCGAACTACTGCTGCTGCTGCTGGACCTCCCACCATCATGAGACATTCGTCCACCATGTGATTCCTTCACAGACTCAACATACTCAATACTACCGTTCTTGCCGTCTGAATCAGCCTCATGTTATATTAGAATAAAACTTTTGGGTCCATACATAAGATCACTATTTGAGATTTATTGGTGTTTCATCCTTTCAAATATTACTTTGTAAATTAATAATTTGATTTATGTTATTTTGTAAATTAATTTTTTAATTGGTCCAACCTTTTTCTTAAATCAAAACATAGGGAGGATTACTATGTCCATTATTTATAAAAATAAAAATGTGTGTTTTTACCATTTGTGAACATCATATCCATATAGATATTTATAGATGAAAAAGTGGCGTTTGTTCACCCAAGTTGCTTTGCCCCATTTTTTATTTTTTTTTATTTTTAAAGTTTTAAATTGTTTTTCTAAGATTAACCTAAGATTTATTTAAAATTTTATTAAAGTATTTTATTCGTTGAGGTACATATAAGAAAACTCTCCCTAAAATGTGTGTGAATATTCCATTTGAGATTGGATTGTCTATAATGTCTAATGTGGTCCACTTTGGATCCTTTTTAGGCTTATTTAGACAATTTAAACTCATTTTGTAGAGAACATCGAGCTGATCAATCATGCCAAATATCAAGTTGATTGAGTATCAATCGTCATTTGATTGAATCATTTTTGTCTAAAAATAATTAAAAGTTTATATAATTTTGAAAGTAATTTACCAATTTAATCAAGTGGCGAACGATCTCCTATCAACTTAATTTTTAGTATGAATAATTTGCTCAATGAAATTTACAAAATAAATGATTTATTACGTGGAGATGGGCCTAAAGATGACCCACAGTGGTCCAGTTGGCTACAATCCAATCCCAGCCTAAAAAAATCATAAAATTGAAAACTTATTTTCAAAATAAATAACAAAATTTTTTGTATTGTGTGTGTATAGAATCTAGAAAAACTGTTAATATTATTTGGAAAGAAATAGGCACAAAACAAGTTTTCATTTCCAAATTTTAAATTTTTTTATGAGCATAATAAAAACTACAGATATAAGGACGTTTTTTAAAACATTTATATTTATACTTTATTTTTTTATTTTTTATAATTTGTTAGTTGGATGTAGAAAAGGTAATGAATTTTATGAACTTTGTAAAATTAGAGAAGTTATTAAATTATTTTTTTTAAATTCTTACTTTTTCATAATTTTAATTAGGTGAAACACCAATAAATTCCAAAATGTGATCTTGTGAACGGTTTAGTCATTTTTTTTAATTATAAACCAAAGACCCTATTAAAGTAAAAATTACATAAAATGGTAGTCATTTACATGTTTGGGTTTAATTTTTTAGGAATAAAAGTGATTTTTTAAAATGTAAAATTACACATTTGGATAATTTGCATTATAGAAGTTTCGGATTTTCCCTCATTCTAGAGCAAATCCCACATTATGAACAAAAACCTAACACTCTAGTGTAACACTCCAATAATGTAATACTTGAATATAATACACTAAAAAACTCATTGGTGTACTTTTTCCAAACGTAACAATGTAACACTAAAAAAAAAAAATTCTTTGGTGTACTTTTTTTCAAACGCAACGCTAAAAAAAACTTCTTAGTATACTTTTCTAAAACGTAATACTTACAGTTTGAAATTATACATTTGTTCAAAACTTATTAAGGAATATTTGTACTCATTTTGGAATAGTTTGAAGAATCTTACATTTTTTTTTAATTTATTACTATTATATTGGAGTGTTACGTTTAGGAAAAGTATACTATTTTTGTGTGTGTGTGTGTGTGTTACATTAGAGCGTTACGTTTGGAAAGTTTTTTTTTTTTTGGTGTTACATTAAAATTTTACACTAAGAATTTTTTTTAGAGTATTATATTGAAGTGTTATGTTTGGAAAAAGTATACTAAGAAATTTTTTTTGTGTGTTACATTCGAATGCTACACTAAGGAGTTTTTGTGTGTTACATTAGAGTGTTATACTAAGGATTTTTTTAGAGTATTATATTAGAGTGTTACATTTGAAAAAAGTACATCAAGAAATTTTTTTGTATGTTACATTAGAGTGTTACAGGAAGGAGTTTTTGTGTGTTACATTAGAGTGTTACATTAAGGAGTTTTTTTGTGTGTTATATTAGAGTGTTACGTTTGAAAAAAATACACTAAGGAGTTTTTTTGTGTGTTACATTACAGCATTACAATAAGAAATTTTTTTGTGTGTTATTTTTGAGTATTACACTAAGGAGTTTTTTTGGAGTGTTCTATTAGAGTGTTGCGTTTGAGAAAAGTATAGTAAAGATTTTTTTTTATGTGTTACATTAGTGTTGCATTTGGATGTTAATTAATATAAATGTTACAATAGGGACAAACATTACAAAAAGGAATGAACACCAATAACACCACAAACGGGGTAACATCATTCACTTACAAATCATTCTACTAAATCCCCACAAAAAAAATAAAATAAAAAATAATAGGAATGTAAAAACTTACCTTACCCACACACACCTAACATTAGGAAAAAAATCCAAACAAAATCACACACAAGGGCAAACAAGAAAACTTTCAAACCCCCAAATCAAGAAAATACAAACATACCCAAAATAAAAAAGACTAATAGGTTTGAAAGAAAACTTCTAGAATTAAATAGAATAATTTCTCCAAATAGGATTTATGAGTATTTTTTTCATTTTAATTTACGGATACAAAATGAGAAAAACTATCATATTTTTTTACAAATCATATAATATTTTATTCTGTGCATAACACTGGTCACATGCTAATTCACTTAAATTCAAATAGTATCAAATTAAATAAATATAATTTTTCAAAATAAAAAAGACTAATTAATTCAAAAAAAATTCTTATAATTAAATGAATCAACATTCCATTTATGAATAAATTTCCTTTCCAATTTCGCTCCTCTTTATTTATATTTTTAGTATTATTTTTCTGTCGGTTCGTACACTCTCATTCTCAGACTCAAACCAACCCTTTTTTCTCTCGCTCTCTCTCCCTCTCTCTCGCACACACACAGCCTTCGCGTTGCCGCCGACTATTCTGTTCTTCACCGGCGTTTGGGTTTTGAACCTTGGTGATTTTCTTTTACCTCCATTTTTTTCTTCTTCTGCACAACAAATCACTCATGCTAGTCTTGATATATTTATTTATCGTTTTCGTATTGGCTTGGATAATGCTTTTTCATCTATGTTTTGTCATCTAGTTCTATTTGATCCTTGCTCTATAAAATGTATTCTGTGTTTTTCATACTCGTACTACAAGCATATATATAGTTTCTTCATTGCTTTGTTTGCATTTTTTTTTGGTTGGTGGGTTTAACGTTTTCTATTTCTTCCTCGTTTCTCAGCAGTCAGCTGTGTGGTTGATTACCAAGAAAGCTGAGGAAAAATACTTTGAAGCTAAAAAAACCGTGTGCTGAACAAGAAAGAATCGACGGTATGGTATTGTATTGGAGCAATTTATCTTTTTATTTAGATATTTTTATTTTTAATGTCATTCTTTGATGTGTAATATTATAAATTCTTACTTTAACTACTCATAAATTATCTAAAATTATTATCTTGTAATTTAAATTTATTTTGCACATAGATTTACGCTACACAAATTTAATTCCAACCACACCACAGAATCTATCTATGTGCAATTGCTGTGTTTCGATTTGATCTTTGTTACGAGCATTATTATTGATTTTTTTAAAAGGTCCTCCCATTTTGACGCTTCTCGGGACTCTACCCTACACATGCATATTTTTTACTTTTAGATCTATTATTTACGTATCACCAAGGGTGGTGGCTCAGTGGTGAAAGCATTGTCCTTCCACAATAATGAGTTAACTTATTTCAAAATTTAAATCCACGGATATCATAATGATACTTCAGAATAACTTTTTTTTGAGTTAAAAAAAAAAATTAGTTATTTGCATGTTATATATGAAGTATGATGAACATATATTGATTTTTATAGATACAAGATATTTAAAATTTAATTTTGTAATAATTCTTTCATAATATTAAATATTATTGTTAAAATAAATACAAAAAAGCAAAACATTCTCTCCATTACATTACATTATTGGAATGGAGATATTCATTTGGCATTTTAAATTATTTACAATTATTATGCTACCTCTTTTTTCTCTAAGCAAACAAATATAACCTAGATATCTTAGTAACTCTTATTCTCTTATCATAAGGATTGTTTCATACAATACTTTAGATTCATACTGAGCATTTATGCTTGTCTAAACAAACCATATAAGTGCAATTTTATTATGATTCTCATCGGTAAAAATGGTCATTGGCTTTTATATATTCTTAACGTTCTAAGTTCTATATATCTTCATATTTAGTTTTTTGCATTGCAAGCATTGCAAAACTGTTTATCGTGAAAATCCTTCTCTCTCTTTTGTTTTTGGGTTTATAATTGAATTGTGAAATACTTTATGAAAAAAATACTGGACAAAAATGCCGATCTAGAGTAGAGGTTACTACATACCTAGCTGCTCAAGCTCAACGAAAAAAATGATAGGTATATAAAAGTTCTACCTTCTAAATCAGATACATTTTATATATGTTAAGAGAATAAACATAACTTAATATATTGTTGTTAAACATTATCAACAAACTTTGGCTTTAAAGCAGTTTATGGTCGTATCGATCATATGCTTATTAGCTACTTCACGCCAATGCAGCCATAGCCTCAAAGAAATGGAACGGTGGTCATTGAAGGCTGAGGGACTGTTTGCCATGAGAAAGGATATCTTGACCAATGGACCCTATTATTATGTGCCTTTTGTTTTGCTTTATTTGGAAAACTCTTCATCTTCAAAGAGCATGAACTCTAGACCTACCTTTTTAGACATCGTACATTCTTTTTAACTTGTTAAAAGTACCTGTTTTATTGCTTTGACTTAATTTTGTTTTCTCTATTTTTCCTTTTTTCGTATATGTTCATTGGAAAACAAACTCATGGGCTCTCTAATGCATGCACATAGAGTTATGGAGTGGATCCTTTGAACACCCCTTTGGTCGAATGCCCATTGTGTGA